ATCCCAACACTCACCAAGGTATGGATAAGTCTTTAACTTGTACGTTGTGTAAGAAAATGTGTGGATTTTCTGTTTATAAATTGATTGTGAATCAATGAAAAGAAAACATATTTTTAGCTACCCTCAAGAGGTGTAGCGACTTTGGCCAAGTAATGTAGCAAGCTTTGGCTCAAGCTATGTAGCAAACTTTGGCTCAAGTAATGTAGCAAGCTTAGGCTCAAGCTATGTAGCAAGCTTTGGCTCAAGTAATGTAGCAAGCTTTGGCTCAAGCTACGTAGCAACCTTTGGCTCAAGTAATGTAGCAAACTTTGGCTCAAGAAATGTAACAAACTTTGGCTCAAGTAATGTAGCAAACTTTGGCTCAAGCAATGTAGCAAGCTTTGACTCAAGCTATGTAGCAAGCTTTGGCTCAAGCTATGTAGGAAACGTTGGCTCAAGTGATGTAGCAAAACTTTGGCTCAAGTTATGTAGCATTATTTCAAAAATATAAACGGTTGAAATGGTTTTAAGTATTATGATTCTAAACTGCTTACTTAACATTATTAAAATGTGGATTAATGTATATTGGCATTTATTGAGTTAACGACTTACTCCTTTGCGTTTCTTGTGTATTATCAATGTTAATCCCATTGGAGGTAGGAGGGAGATTTAAGGATGTCTTGGTTAAGAGCTTAGAGGCTTTTAATTCCGAATTCTTTATCTTCATTTTTGTAATCTAACTGATTATGTGTTGACCTGAATGTTTAAAACCATGGGTATGATATTTCGACATGTTTGTAACCATGGATAGTTGTATGTTGGAAAACCATGACTCTTGGTACGCCACAAATGCTAAGAGAAATTAAAATGAATTATGTTTTTATGCATTTCTGATTTTGCGTATGAACGATGCATGTTAGTATGATCATGAAATAAATAGATTGGTTAATGGAAGGCCTTGAGGCTTTTGATTACAAGGATTAATAAAAGGAAAGGAAAAAGATACATGCATGAATGTATTAAAATAAGAGAAAATTTTCAAGGGTAGAAATTTGGGTCCTTACTACTGCAAATACAAGTTTAGCTCATTATTGCCGGGATAATGGTCTACTTCTTCATATCCATCGTGCAATGCATCTTGTTATCGATAGACAGAAGAATCATGGTATGCACTTTCGTGTACTAGCTAAAGCCTTACGTTTGTCTGGTGGAGATCATATTCACTCTGGTACCGTAGTAGGTAAACTTGAAGGAGAAAGAGAGATCACTTTAGGTTTTGTTGATTTATTGCGTGATGATTTTGTTGAAAAAGATCGAAGCCGCGGTATTTATTTCACTCAGGATTGGGTTTCTCTACCTGGTGTTCTGCCCGTTGCTTCGGGGGGTATTCACGTTTGGCATATGCCTGCTCTGACCGAGATCTTTGGAGATGATTCCGTACTTCAATTCGGCGGAGGAACTTTAGGGCACCCTTGGGGCAATGCACCAGGTGCCGTAGCTAATCGAGTAGCTCTGGAAGCATGTGTACAAGCTCGAAATGAGGGACGTGATCTTGCTTCTGAGGGTAATCAAATTATCCGTGAGGCTTCCAAATGGAGTCCTGAATTAGCTGCTGCTTGTGAAGTATGGAAGGAGATCAAATTTGAATTCCAAGCAATGGATACTTTGTAATCCAGTAATTCTCGTTCGTTCTATTTAATTGCAATTCCATTGCAATTAAACTCGGACTCGGCCCAATCCTTTACGAAAAGGATTGAGCCGAATAGAATAGATATATTTTCTTTTTTTATTATTAATAACTAAAAACAAATAGTAGTTATCTAGACATACCAGATCTTAAAAAAAATATATAAGACAAAACAACTTGAATGTTTCTATTCTTATTCTTGGGTTGTATCCATAATGAATCCTAGGGATCGTTACGATTGATGTATTCTTTTCTATCCCTTCGGATCATAGATCGAGCCAAATATCATAACTTTTTTGTTACCCGTCTTGTATATTATATTGCATTGCTTTTTTTCGTCCTTTCGTGTTCGAGTAGAAACTTATTTATTAAGCAAACGATATTTTACGAAAAGGGTTCTTCCGAGTCTTAAGGGAGAGCGACTATTTCGTTTTTCGATGTGAATTTCACCCAACAGGGGGGACTATTAATAAATTTTTTTCTATAATTTTTAAATTTATAATAATAATAAAATTTAATAATCTATTTAATAATATAAATATTAATAATATTAAGATTCGGTTAAGATTAAGATTTCATTTTTTTTTTTATTTTAATCCGTTTGTTTTCTCGATTGTAGTGGTTTTTCAACACTCATATTGACAACAACGTATCAAACAAATATAATCCGATCGTGAATAAATCTCGATCAATTTATTCACGTTAGCGTTCCATAGGCTTTTTTATTGTGATTAAATAGACACATTCTATTTTTTTTTTTTTATTAGGGTTGCTAACTCAACGGTAGAGTACTCGGCTTTTAAGTGCGACTCCATTTTTTACACATTTCTACGAAGCAATTGGTTCGTCCATACCATCGGTAGAGTTTGTAAGACCACGACTGATCCAGAAAGGAATGAATGGAAAAAACAGCATGTCGTACCAATAGAATGGTCAATAAAAAATTATTTGATTCTTATTAGATCAATGGATCCGTCGAAAATTTTTGTTTGAATTTCTTCGATCGAAACAAAAAAATTCAGTTGGGTTGAATTAATAAAGGGATAGAGCTCTCCTTGGTGGCTCCAATTATAGGTAAACAAAAAGTAACCAGCTTTCCCTTTTTATTTGAATGATTGTCCCATCTAATTTAATTGTATGTTAAAAATCAATTCGTGCTTGATGTGGGAAAAGCTTTTGCCACGAATATATTTTTGATTGATTTTTGTTATTAGTCCTAACTATATAGCTATTCTCCATTATGGGATGGCGATAAATGTGTACAAGAAAGAGTATATTGATAAAGATATTTTTTTTTTTCCAAAAATCAAAAGAGCGATTGGGCTGAGAAAATAAAGGATTTCTAACTGGCTTCTTATCCTAGAGCACGACACGATTCGATGGAAAAAGCGAGGATAAAGAGTCCGTTGATGGTTTTTTTTTTTACTTGTTTTCTAGGTATCTATTCATATTTGTTTTTTATTCTAATTCGAATATTCAAATATATAATAATAATAATACCTTGTTTTGACTGTATCGCACTATGTATTATTTGAGAATCTAATGAATCCCTGATCCTTTGACCAAATTTAATGTCAAAAATGGAGGAATATCAAGTATATTTAGAACTAGATATCTCTCGCCAACAGCACCTCCTATACCCACTCATTTTTCGGGAGTATATTTATGGACTCGTTTATGGTCATGATTTTAATGGATCTATTTTTTCGGAAAATGTAGATTATGATAATAAATCTAGTTTACTAATTGTAAAACGTTTAATTACTCGAATGGATCAACAGAATCATTTGATTATTTCGGCTAATGATTCTAAAAAAAATCAATTTTTGAGTTATAATAAAAATTTTTATTCTCAAATAATATCAGAAGGTTTTGCCATCGTCGTGGAAATTCCACTTTCCCTACAATTAAACTCTTCCTCAGAGGAGTCAAAAATCATAAAATATTATAAAAATTTGCGATCAATTCATTCCATTTTTCCGTTTTTCGAAGATAAATTAACATATTTAAATTATGTGTCAGATGCACGAATACCCTATCCTATCCATCTGGAAATCTTGGTTCAAGTCTTTCGATACTGGGCTAAAGATGCCCCTTTGTTTCACTTATTAAGGTTGGTTTTTTTATGAATATTGTAATTGGAATAATCTTATTACTCCAAAAAAAATCGATTTCTACTTTTTCAAAAAGTAATCTAAGAGTTTTCTTGTTCCTATATAATTTTTATGTATGTGAATACGAATCTATTTTCCTTTTTCTACGTAACAAATCCTCTCATTTACGATTAACATCTTTTAGCGTTCTTTTTGAACGAATCTATTTCTATGGAAAAATCGAACATTTTTTAGAAGTCTTTGCTAAGGATTTTTCGTCTACCTTATCATTCTTCAAGGAGCTTTTCATTCATTATGTTAGATATCAAGAAAAATATATTTTGGCTTCAAAGAATGCGTCTCTTTTGATGAATAAATGGAAAAATTATCTTATCCGTTTATGGCAATATCATTTGGATGTTTGGTCTCAACCAAGAACAATCCAAATAAACCAATTCTCCGAGGGTTCATTTCACCTTTTGGGCTATTTTTCAAATGTGCGGTTGAATCATTCAGCGGTACGGAGTCAAATGCTGGAAAATTCATTTATAATCGAAATTGTTATGAAAAAGCTTGAGACAATAGTTCCAATTATTCCTCTAATTAGATCTTTGGCTAAAGCGAAATTTTGTAATGTCTTAGGGCACCCCATTAGTAAGCCGGTTTGGGCCGATTCATCCGATTTTTATATTATTGACCGATTTTTGCGGATATGTAGAAATCTTTCTCATTATTACAATGGATCCGAAAAAAAAAAGAGTTTGTATCGAGTAAAATATATACTTCGACTTTCGTGTATTAAAACTTTGGCTCGTAAACACAAAAGTACTGTACGTGCTTTTTTGAAAAGATTAGGTTCAGAAAAATTATTGGAAGAATTCTTTACAGAGGAAGAAGAGATTCTTTCTTTGGTCTTTCAAAGGGCTTCTTCTACTTTTACTTTGCAGGGGTTATATAGAGGTAGGGTTTGGTATTTGGATATTATTTTCAGCAACGATCTGGTCAATCATGAATGATTAGTTATGATACTTTGTAAATGGGTAAATCTAAACTCTCCTTAAACGAGAATATAATATAATAAAAAAATGCATTCATTATAGTATTCTATACCTATACCATAGGATTATGAAATGCTCATGTAGTAAGAGTGGGGATTCAGGATTCATCAACTTAATATTTAACTTTCGTAGAGTTCTGGTCCTCTTCTGGGGAAGTAACTCGGGTTTAGATGTATACATAGGCAAAGCCGTGTGCAATGAAAAATGCAAGTACGGCTTGGGGAGGGATTTTTTCTTGTTTTACTGTTGAATCTGATTAACAAATAAATTTTCTACTCCATCCGACTAGTTCCGGGTTCGAGTCCCGGGCAACCCATAATATAATATATCGAAGTTATGTGTACATAACCATAGAGAAGTCATATTATGTATAGAAAACTGAATTTTTGTATCTTTTTTTTTTTGAATAAATGAAAGGGGGCAACATAAAAATTAGGATCAATTTATATGAATAAGAGCATACTGTGGATATTTGTATTGGTTGACACTGGTGTATAAGTCATGTTATACTATTGAATAACAAGCTCTCAATTATCTAGTTATAGATAATTCATGTGCTTGGGAGTCCCTGATGATTAAATAAACCAAGATTTTACCATGACTGCAATTTTAGAGAGACACGAGAGCGAAAGCCTATGGGGTCGCTTTTGTAACTGGATAACCAACACTGAAAACCGTCTTTACATTAGATGGTTTGGTATTTTGATGATCCCTACCTTATTGACCGCAACTTCTGTATTTATTATCGCTTTCATTGCTGCCCCTCCAGTAGATATTGATGGTATTCGTGAGCCTGTTTCTGGATCTCTACTTTACGGAAACAATATTATTTCGGGTGCTATTATTCCTACTTTTGTGGCTATCGGTTTGCACTTTTACCCGATATGGGAAGCGGCATCCGTTGATGAATGGTTATACAATGGCGGTCCTTATGAACTAATTTTTCTACACTTCTTACTTGGTGTAGCTTGTTACATGGGTCGTGAGTGGGAACTTAGTTTTCATCTTGGTATGCACACTTGGATTGCGGTTGCATATTCAGCTCCTGTTGCAGATGCTACTTCGGTTTTCTTCATTTATCCAACCGGTCAAGGAAGCTTTTCGGATGGTATGCCTCTAGGAATTTCTGGTACTTTCAACTTTATGATTATATTTTAGGCTGAGCACAATATTCTTATGCATCCACTTCACATGTTAGGCGTAGTTGTTGTATTCGGCGGCTCCCTATTCAGTGTTATGCACGGTTCCTTGGTAACTTCTAGTTTGATCAGGGAAACCACAGAAAATGAATCTGCTAACGAAGGTTACAAATTTGGTCAAGAGGAAGAAACCTATAATATTGTAGCTCCTCATGGTTATTTTGGCCGATTGATATTCCAATATGCTAGTTTCAATAATTCTCGTTCTTTACATTTGTTTCTAACTGCTTGGCCTGTAGTAGGTATCTGGTTTACTGCGTTAGGTATCATTACCATGACTTTCAATTTAAATGGTTTCAATTTCAACCAATCTGTAGTTGATAGTCAAGGTCATGTAATTAATACCTGGGCTGATATTATTAACCGAGCTAACCTTGGTATGGAAGTTATGCATGAACGTAATGCTCATAACTTCTACCCTTGAAATTCTTTTCTTATTTTAATTCATGCAAACATATATTTTCCTTATATCTTATGATTAGTAACCCAATGTACGTTACATTAGTTACCTTGATTATTTTCTGATCATTTATCATGCAGTATTCATACACACATCCATAAGGCGGAAAAACATAATTCATATTAATGTTTCCCCCATTTAATTAGGACATGGGGATAGTTATGGGTTTCCAAAATCATAATACCCAAGGTTACATATATTTAAATCCGCAAATAGTTAGTTATGATACAAAAAGTGCAAATAAAGGAATCCATATTTAAAAGCTCCTAAAGCTCCAAGTCAAGCATCCTTAATTTATCCAATTACCTGCAATGAGATTATCATAAACAATACATGAAAAACAATACAAGGAGTAAGTCTTAAATTCAACATAATCAAATGATAATCCACAATTAATAAGGTTAGATAAACAGTTATATTGTGACATATAAATAATACTTCCACACATATATCCCACTTTGTTATCTTCATCGTTGTGCATTTTTCTCGAACTCATCTATATCCATTCCTCATGTCCATACGTAATTTCATCCTTTATATTAATATTCATCTATCCCATTTATGTTTATCTTAAATCGTATATCTTACCACATAGGGCAAGTCAGACATTTGCTATAAATAGCCAATACCACGAGGGCAAGTCATACATTGCTACGAATAGCCAATACCACGAGGGCAAGTCATACATTGCTACGAACAGCCATTACCACGAAGGTAACTCATACATTGCTACGAATAGCCATTACCATGAAGGTAACTCATACATTGCTCAACCTCTAAAGGGAGCTAAAAATAGGGTTTTCTTTCCATTACTTCACAATCCATATATAATCAGAAAATCCACGCATTCTCTATCATCATATAAAATTTAAACACTTCTCCTTACCTTGGTGAGTGTTTGGGTCGGTTCCTGGGTAACTTTACAAGTTTCCTTCGATACCTCCTCCAACTTTAGGATTTTCCTCATCCCCACCAAACAACAACAAAGTCAGTAATTTATTCACAACAACATATAAACAATTCATAGTTCATCTTTAACCATACAAAAGATTCATACATTTTCAATGTTTCCAACACCACTATCATTAGATGTTTTCAACATTAAAACATACATATTCATCTTCTATTTTACATTAGAACCCATACTCATCTTCTAAATCTACCATTTCACCCATTTTCCTCTTTAACCACATTTTAATTTTGGGGTTTTGGGGTTTTCATGAATCAACCCACAAACCCCTTTCCATTTTGTTGGAAATCAAAATAAAACGAACCACAACTCAAAAGGAAGAGTTTCCATGGTTTCTCACATTTTGAAAAGAGATCCCATACACCCAAAACAAGTTCGAAAGGGAAGAAGAGAGTTAGAATCAAGAGATTTACCACTTCTCAAGCTTCTAGATGATTCTCATGAACCCTTGTTTTTGAAAAATGCTCTCTTCTCTCTATTCTCTCCAAAGTTCTAACCCTAAATGTATTTGGTGTTTCTATTTTAAAATGAAATCGTCGGGTTCTCGCTCAAGCGAGAAAATCCCGCCCATTTTAAAAACTCAGATCTGGCACTCTCGCTCAAGCAAGGGATTATCGCTCAAGCGAGGGATTTTCATTCAAGTAACAGATTCTATCCAATTGAAAGGATCTTCTGATCAATCCAGGGATCATTTCGATTCCATTAGGAATGAGGATTCGGAATATCACACATTGATCAATCAAAGAGAGATTCAACAACTAAAAGAAAGATTGATTCTTTGTTGGGATTCTTCCTTTCTTCACACGGAACGAACAAAGATAGAATCAGAGCGATTCCCTAAATTCCTTTCTGGATTTTCCTCAATGTGCCGACTATTTATTGTAAGGACCCAAATTCTACCCTTGAAATTTTTTCCCTATTTTATTCATGCTTTATACATTTTTCCTACGACTTTTAAACATAAATGCCAATAACTTAAGTTAAGTCCAAAAATAACATACACATTCGCCTAGCAGAAAATCATAATTCATTCATGCATCCCGGTAACTATCGCATACAACTAGCTATGGGTTTCCAAAATACCCATAGCTACAAATATCCAGATTTACCATTATCCTTGGTCCCTAAAGTGTACAAAAAATTAGGCCCATGATTACAAATAGTCAATTCAGAATACAATCAGTTAGATTACAAAAGAATGGAAATAAGGACTTCAAAAATAAAAGGCTCTAAGCTCCAAAATCAAAACATCCTTACATCTTCCACCTACCTGCAATGGTATTAACATTGACCATACACAGAAAACACAAAGGAGTAAGTCGTTAACTCAATAAATGTCAATGTACGTTAGTCCACATTTAAATAAGGTTAAGTAAACAATTTAAAGCCAAATGTACTTAAAACCAAAGCTTGCTACATCGCTTGAGCCAAAGCTTGCTACATCGCTTGAGCCAAAGCTTACTACATCGCTTGAGCCAAAGCTTGCTACATTACTTGAGCCAAAGTCGCCAACCAATCATGGTCGGCTAAAAACGAGTTTTCTTTTCATTGACACTCCATCAATTCATAAACAGTAAATCCACACCATCATTATTACAAACACACCCATATATGTTTATAATAAATAAGTGGTTCACAACTTGATTCATTATACACAACCTGAAAATCCACGCATTTTCTAACACGATGCATAAGTTAAAGACTTATCCTTACCTTGGTGAGTTTTGGGTTTGGTTCTTGGTAACTTCGCAAGTTCCACTGACACCGCCTCCAACTTTAGGATATTTCCTCATTCCCACCATATAACACAATGTTAGTCATTTATTCCAAATAACACATAAATAACTCATTTTGCATCTTTAACCAGATAAGAGATTTAACACATTTTCAATGTTTCTAAAATACTTTCATTATAAGTTTACAACCATCTAAACCATACATATTCATCTCATATTTCAACATTAGAATGCATACTCATCTTCTACCTCGAGCATTTTACCCATTTTCCTCTTTAACCACATTTTCACTTTAGGGTTTTGGGGTTTTCATGAACCAACCCACAAATCCTTTCCATTCTTGAAATACCAACTCTAAACTAAGGGTTTACGAGAGAAAAACAACATAAAACGAACCATAACACAAAAGGGTGAGTTTCCATGGTTTCTCCCATTTTGAGAAGAGATCCAATATACCCAAAACTAGTTTTAAGGGGAAGAAGAGAGTTAGAATCAAGAGTTTTACCTCTTCTCAAGCTCTTATATGAGTATCAAAGCTCCTTGCCCTTGGAAAAACTCTCTTCTCTCACATCTCTTCAATTTCTAACCCTAAATGTGTTTGGGGTTTCTCATTTAATGCAATCTCGTCAGGTTCTCGCTTAAGCGAGCCCATTCTTGCTCAAGCGAGAAAATCACGCCCATTTTAAAAACTCAGATCTGACCCTCTCGCCTAGGCGAGGGAACTCTCGCCTAGGCGAGGCATCTCTCACCCAAGTGAGGGTCCTCTCGCTCAAGTGAGGATCTTACAGCCTCGACAGGTCCAAAATGTCACTTTTCTCGCCCAGGCGAGCCAACTCTCGCTCAGGCGAGACCACTCTCGCTCAAGCGAGAATCCGTCAGTATAGCCCAGGATTTCACCCTCCCAGGTGAGTCTTTC